GGCCGCGCCGCAGTCGACAAGGAAGCCTTTGTCGATCGGTGCAGGTAAACCTGGTTTCACGAGGCATACCTGCGCCGATCAACAAAGGCTTCCTTGTCGACCGCGGCGCGTCCAGACTGCCCCGATCTGCCGACAAACAGCTGATTGGCACAGCGGGACAGCCATTTAAATTTAAATGAAGCCGCAATTATTTAAATCGCGGCTTCATTTCCCTCTGCCGATCTGTCTAATCTACATGCCACCGTCGACGGAGGCATGTAGTCTAGACACACCCGTACAGTGCCAAGCACCTCACAAATAATAATAATTAGTGTCTTGGGCATTTAGGGCCAGGCTTTCAGAATAATTCACTGTATTAAGTATTGCTCTTTGTGCATGGGAGGAGCTCCCTGGAAATATCTCCAAAGCCACCTCAATGTCTCCTTCCCAATCCCTCTGCCATGATTCTTACACAGAAGGTGACTCTGGCTAGCCTGTGTCACCTTGCCCTCTCCCTGCCTGTTGTGTATAGCCTTATGCATGGATTGGAAGCTCTTTTGGGCAGAGATTTGTTCCTAGAGCAGAGGTTCTCAACCAGGGATTGGGTGCTCCCTGGCAGGCCCTGAGCATGTTTCAGGGGGTTTACCAAAAGTAAACCAGAGAGCAGGGCTGTCGTTAGACTCTCTGGGGCGCAGGGATGTAAGGGAATAGTCAAGTAGTTGATTACCCAATAAGTGTAGGTTTATTGGTTAGTCGAATCGACTACTTGACTACTCACTTGCCCCCCTTGCTGCTTCTGCATCAGTCCGTGCGAGCCAGGACTGAGCGCCTTCCCTTATCGACTGATCGTGTAGTCACTAAAGATTGTATCGAGTACACGATTAGTTAAATACCTGCTTCTTAACATCCCTACTGGGGCCCAGGGCAGAACGCCAAGGACTGAGCCCCACCATCCAGGACTGAAGGAGGAAGCCTGAGCGACTTAGCTTTGTGGAGTTCCCTTTGAGGTGGGGTTCTGGGCCGTGACCTAGCATGCTGCCCCATACCACCATTCCTGGCTTTTCATCTACCGGACGTGCAGAAAAGCAGCTGTTGGGGCAGAGGTGGGTTGTGGAATTTTAACAGTATGCTGAGGGGGGACTCAGAAAGAAAAAGGTTGAGAACTCCTGTCTTAGGCTACATCTAAACTATACCCCTCTGTCAGCAGAGGGATGTAAATTAGACGTATCGAAAGTACAAAGGAAGCCATGATTTAAATATCCTGCGCTTCATTTGCATAATGGCAGCTGCTGCTTTTTTCCGAAACGGGGCTTTTAAAAAAAAACCCCAGCAGTTTAGACGAAGCATTTTTGACAGAAATGCCCCATTTTGAAAGATCCTGTACTCCTCATCTACACTGCCATTTTTTTCCGAAAAGCCCCATTTCCGAAAAAAAATATGGTGGCTGCCATTATGCAAATGACATGCGCAATATTTAAATCCCGGCTTCATTTGCACTTTCAATACGTCTAATTTACATCCCTCTGTCGACAGATGGGTGTAGTTTAGACACGGCCTTAGAGTGTACTAGGAGGGTGGTAAAGCACTGGAATGGGTTCCCTAGGGAAGTGGCTGAATCGCCATCCCTAGAGGTTTTAAGTCCGGCTTGACAAAGCCCTGGTTGGGATGATTTAGTTGGGGTTGGGGTTG